TGCCTGCTGTTGTCAGTAGAGTTTAGCTGGATCTTCTTACATGGGTACCTCAGATGACTTTCTACCATTCCTGTGTCCACCAGATTTTGGTGCTCATCAGGATCTGGAGGTCAGTGAAAAGAGTAAGACTTGCCTAAATTGTGGCTGTTTGCTGCAAGAGCCAAGGAAATGGAGTACTACAAGAAACCTCCACCAAGCTGGCAGCCACCTAAAAGCAGTCAGAGACCAATGTTGCTTAAAATCTTCAGTAACGACCTGGATAATTTGGGGCAGAGTTTGTAGGTGGCACCAAATTGGGCAGGACAGTTGTTTCAGTATAAATGGAATACCAAAGCATCCAGTTCAGGGTTCTCCAGGTAAAGTGATACCTCTCCAACGTAAAGAACAAGTCCAGTGAAGGGCCACCATGCTGGTGAGGGGACTGGAGCACACAGTATATGTGGGAATGCTGAGGGACCTGGCATTTTTCAGTCTCCAGAAGAGAAGGCTCAGGACTGAATCTTATGACTGTTTTCTACTACTGAGTAGGCGGCTCTACAGAAGACTCCTCTTGGAAATGCACGGAAAACCCAGCAAACTAACACCAAAAGCAATGAACATGAGCTGCAGCAGCAGAAAGCTGAGTAGATATAAGGATAAAATTCTTCATTCTTCACCTGGAGAGGGGTTTAGCCCTGGAACAAGTGTCCAATGAGTTTGGGGAATATTTCTCTGTGGAAAACTTGCCTAGGCAACTTCCTGAGCAACCTGATGTAAAATGAAAGCTGGTTGTGTTTTGGGCAGGAGGTTGGACAGAGTAGGCTCCAGATATTGCTTTCAGCTAAATTATAGGATGGCTTATGTGCTGCAGTCACAACAGGTGACTTTTTTCCCCAGGCATATTTCCCTGGATATATTAGGAAGTTTGCAAAAAGTCCACGTAAAAGAGGCTTTTACAATCCTGGTGCTCTGTTTTCTATGCTAGAGGCTTTCATCCCCATGTATAATTGAAGCATAGACAGTCTCTTCTGCTTTGTTGCTCATTTTGGCTGCTGCAGGTTGAACTGGAGCAGCCTGGCAATTGGAGAGTTGAGGACTTCACTACTGATATTTGTGAATATGGAGGCCTGGTCTGTGCCCAAAGATGCTGGTTACATATGTACTGGTAAACCAGCAGTACCAGGGCCTGGGCACAGCTACTGGAAATAGATCTTCTGTACTGAGAAACTGTAGCATGATCCATGGCATAGTTTGTTGCCTTAGTCCAGCCAACATGCTCTTAGTCAGTCCCAAAGATCATAGAATAGAAGAATAGTTTGGGTTGGAAGGATCTTAAAAATCATCTTGTTCTAACGTCCCTGCTCATGACACATCTTACAATAAGACTAAGTCACTCAAAGCCCTGTCTAACCTGGCTTTGAATGCTTCCAGAGATGTTTTGAGGCCGGTTGTAGGACAGAGACTGAGTACCATCACTGTTTTGGATGATAAGTGTTTAATAGCATGGCTATGTGCTGTTCCACCACAGTTTACCTCAGTGCCAGATATGGTCCAGCACAAGTTTTCATTTACCAGTGAACATGTACCAAAACAGTGTAGACTGGATCTGGGCACTGATAAATACCAGTAAGGATTGCAGTGTTAGGAGCTGCTTTGGATGATGGAGCTACCTAGAAGAGGCTGGTTATCTAGGGCTGGATACCCAGGAACTGTAGAGGCTCTTATAACTTAAGCTACATCTGCATTATTTGTGGGCTGGTGAGGGGACTAGAGTAGGGTTCCCCAGCTGCCTGTAGGCAGTATGGCATTTTGTTTTCAGTGGATATCATGGACAGGGCTGTCCTCTTTTGGGCCAGAAAAACAAAGCAGCCTGATAAAGGTGGCATCAGGACTGTGCTCATCTACCATGAACATATCTGCTGCTCTGTACTGGATATAGTGAAAAGAACCTGCTGCTGGCTGGCCCTGTGGCTGGCTGACCTTGTGTCCAAAATACTGTGGGGGTCTTCTGTAAATTTATATTTGGGACTAGCCCTGTTATAACTCAGGCTTTATTACCAGTTTGGGGTAGTGCTTGTTGGCAGAATCATCCTAAGGAACAGGGCAGCACCAAAACAAGGAGTGTGTGCAGATTTAAGCCCTGTTTGGTTTCCTAATGCAGATGCTGCTGCTAAAGTCAGCATGAATGGAAACCATGGCCTGCTCAGAACTGCATGGGAGGAAGGAGATCATCAATACCAGGACATGACTACTTTTCTATAGCTAGAAAAGCTGTCAATAGTTCTGTGAGGGTATAGGACAAATAAAACTCCAAGAAGTGTTTTCAGTGAGCTGAATCTACAGCTTTGACAGCTGAAGAGTCCAATCCAGTTTGGTAAGGTAGAGAGCAGAGTCTGTAGTTACTGCACATTTCCCACAGGAGGAACCATGGCTGACCCATGGGTTGACCATCTCTGGGGATGACATATGCAAAAGCCTCATTGTGCCCCTCACAGGACAAATAACGGGTAGTGCTCCTGTGCCAGGGGCATGGCCCCTGAGCAGACAGCTGTGGGGTGTTCTCTGTTTTGTATGGGAACAATAACATGTAAAAAGAATAGGCACCCTCCATGAAATCCTCTGCAGTGCTTAGATTTGATGAGTTTCTCTAACTGGACCTTTGCAAAAAGACAATGAATCAGGATTACTGCATGCCAGATGTTTCCACTGGAACCTCTGACACTCATTGGATCAGAAATCCCCTAGGGAGGTTTGGGTGGTTCAGTATGAAAATGTTCACATGGAGCCTTGTTCTTTTGTCATTTGCAGCATGCTGCCTTTGATTTGAGAAAAAAGACATTACCCTCTAGGCTTGGTTTCCTGTGGCTTTCCTGTGTCTCTCATGGCTTTTGTTGCTCTGCTTGTTCTAGCACTCAATACCTTTTGGGGTTCATTTTCCCTTTCCCTGCTTCCTAATTAGTGACCTAAAGGGTTTTGTATTCCTTTCTCTGCAGCTGTCCTGTTGCTTTTAGCAACAATTTGATGTTGAAGAAATGTCTCCTTGTCAGCTTCCCCCTAAACTTGGTCCTGGCTGGATGGTGAAAGCAAACTATCAGTCTTGCACCTAAAAGCTCAAAACCTTGTCTCTACAAATTGTTTTCACCCTAGCTGAGAAAACAGGCAAAACCATCTGATAGAAAATGGTACTTGAGTAAATACTTACTTTTGGGTCTTTCCATATTCTAAATTCCTGATTTAAGAAAAGTTTTTACTTGCATGGAATAAATGCACTTAAAACAATATTTCTACTTACATGGTGGAGGATAATATTAAAATTATTCCACCTCACAATAACTCTCCTTAGATGTAGAAATACAACATCTTCTAAGGGCAGACAGGGACACTGATCACATCTGTCTGCAGCCAGGGCCAGAGAGGGGGACTTGAGGCAGCTCTTGTGGGTGTTACAAAGGCTAAAAAAGCCTACCCAAACTTTCCTAATCTCTTCTCCTCAAAACGAAACAAGATGTATTGGGTTTACATGGTTTTTGGTAGCAGGGGTCTGCAGGCGTGGCTTCTGTGTGAAGATGCCAGAAGCTCCCCCATGTCTGACAGAGCCAATGCCAGGCGGCTCCAAGAGGAACTACCACTGGCCAAGGCTGAGCCCATCAGAGATGCTGGAAATGCCTCTGGGATAATGTATTTAAGAAGGGGAAAGAAGTTACTGTGCAACAGCAGTTGCAGCCAGGAAAGAGAGAAGTGAAAATATGTGAAGGTAACAGCCCTGCAGACACCCAGGTCTGAAGAAGTAGGGGCAGCAGCTGCTCCTCCTTCCCAGTCACAGGAGCTGAGATTCCCCTGCAGCCTGTAGTGCAGACCATGGTGAGGCAGCTGTGCTCCTGCAGCCCATGGGGATCCATGGGGGAGTGGAGATCCACCTGCAGTCCTTGGAGGAACCTACATCAGAGCAGGGGGATAACCAAAAGACGTGATCCTGAGGGAAGGCTGTGTTGGAGCAGGTTTCCTGGCTGGATCTGTGACCCTGTGGGGGACCCAAGCTAGAGTAGCCTGTTCCCACGCTGGAGCAGGGGAAGAGTGCAAGGAGTCCTCCCCCCGAAGAGAAAGAAGTGGCTGAGACAATGTGTGATGGACTGAATGCAGCCCCCATTCCTGTCCCCCTGTGCTGCAGGAGGAAAGGAGGTAGAGAAAATCAAGAGTGAAGGGTTTTGCTTGTGTGGTGGGTGGGCTCTGGCTGGGGAGCATCTGGGGTCCAGCCAGGATCCACCCACCACACAAGAAAACCTGGATAAAACCAACACACCCAAACCAAATCAGAATTTTATCCTTCCCTGACAAGACCTCAATGTCCAACTCTCTTACACGTGTGAGATGGGAATTTGTTAATAACTTTTCCTGTTACTGTGATCCATGGCATTATCGGACAGCTAAATTATTCTGCATGAATTCTATATGAATATTATAACTGTATTAGTTTACTAAAATATTAACATATATTCTCTTGCTGTGACAGTCTCTTAGTTCATGGGGAAGCTTGTGGTGTTTTTGGATAAATACACTGGAGTAAGACTCCAAAGATCTGAGACCTTTCCCCATGCTCTGCACTGATTTGCTCTTGTTAGTCTTTTTACTTTTCTGTGAAGCTGCTTCTCTCCATCTATTAAGATATTGATACCTGTCTTAGAGTCCTTTTAGACCTTTATAGAATGGTGAAAAGTAATTATTTTCAATACAGATAGCCTTTTCCCTGTGAAAACAAACCATCTTTTATTTGCAGCTTTCTTTCTACAGAAAGGGTTTCTAATTCTTCTATATTCTTTTTGGCAATTTCCTTTCATCAATTTACAATTTATTACAGGTGTGTTAGAGTCAGATACACCTTCCCATGCAAGCACAAAGACTTTCAAATATGGAAATCTCATATGTATGTACTCTCACAGTCTGCATCTTGGTAACTTATTTCTAGGCAATTTCTGTTGTGAATGGACAAATATTAACAAAGAGGTATTGTTTTTCCCTTTCAGAGTGTCAGTCAGCTACTGCTCTCCAGCTCATGATCAAGCGCTGTCATGGGAAAAGAAGCTGCAGCATATATGCCAGCACCTATGAATTTGGAGATCCTTGTTATCCAGGCATCCAAAAGCATCTTAATGTCATCTACACCTGTGGTACGTCACAAAATTCTCTTACTTTAACTCTCAAGGGGCTGTATGTTTGATGAACACTGCTATGTGGAGAACAACAAGACATTATCATACACCAAAAGTCGTTGATCTTCCAGTTGGCTCATGGTGATTCTTGTTTAGTCAGCAGGGGAAAGTTCTGTGGATCACTGGAGTGGTTTAATTCTGTCACTTTTTGTGCTCATTGGCTTGATAGAAAAAGCAAAAAAGGTGGAAATGATATTTTATGAACACATTCAGATGTGTTTTCAAGGCAGGAAAATCTGGTGGTGGAATCAATCCAGTCAGTGGATATTTACACCCTCGAATGTTGGCACCCTGCAGCAAAGTCATGGTTATCAGTAGGATCCTTATTATTTTGTTCTGTATTGCATTTTGTACCACAGAATCAGACAATTACCAATCCATACTCATCCACTGTGTTAGTATAAAGTCACTCCCAAAATCTTCAAGTGAAAATTGCAACATTTTTTCCTAACAAAATACCGTTATTAATAAAAAAAGTAAATAAATAAACAGCTGGAGCTCTAAGTTGTGAACTTAAGTCACAGTGTTGAGCAGACACTGTGCTCCTACCTGACTAGTCATCTTGTTTTGCAACACATGAAAAACTGTTCCTGTCTGAGCCCTGTGGTATAAAAACAACACCAGATCTGTTTTCTTACTGTGTGATGATATTCTGGTCATTTGTATCTGACATATTTGAAAATATTTTCTTCAGGGTTTTGCTCATATAGTCGTTGCTAGGATCAGCTCGGTTTCTCTCTCTCTGTTCCTTTCTGCATCCACTTGGAAAAAGAAATTCTAGATGTTACTTTGGATGTGGTGAGAGAAGGCAGAGACTGTGGTAGAGGAGGAATTTTGTGTCCTCAGAGAACAGCTCTGTGGGTCACTCCCTGTGTGTAACTGCAGGATGCTGGGTCTGATACCACTGGACATAGATTTGCCATAGCATTTTGTGCAGTTGCTATAGCACGGTGGATGTACAGAACCTTGAAGAGCAGAGACTTCAGTGCAGAAGCAATGAGGCTTTGAGTTCCTCTGGCTGTTGTTTCGCTTGGCAGGAGAGGCAGGAAGATTGGGGTTTTGTTTGAAATAATGTAGCAAGAAGTAGCAAGGCTATCCATGCAAAGCCCTGTGAGTTTTCTAGTCAGGAAGGTGAGGTTTTTATATCACTTTCCTCATAAAGAGACTGAAGAGAAACTTATCCTCATGGGGATTTGACAGAAATGAAGGCAATGCAGCAAAACAGGAGTTCCATCCCTCAAAAATCCAGGGAAAACAAACAGAGCCCCATGATGTATTTCCAGGAGGATTTCTTCTTCAAAGGCCTCAACAGCCTTATTCTGGCTTTGTGGTCCTGATCTCAAAGTCCACTACAAAAGATATTAATGATCTCTTAATCTGACCTTAGCTTTCCTAGTCCTAGTCTAACTGCATCAGGAAATGAGTCACGCTTGAGAGCACAAAATGGCATGCTTTGCTTTTCCGTGGGTGAAATCTGCCTCATCCTTTGAAGGTGGCCATGGCTCCTTTTCAAAACCATGACCTCAGACATGTCTCTGAGCTGGATTTTGTGATCATCAGACACATATTTCTCGCCTCAAACAGCAAAATCCTTCAAAATGTGAAAACCAAATAAACAAGAAATCAAATTCCAGTCCCGTATGCTCATGTCAGACAGAACTAAGTCCTGGCATTCTTTTAGAAGAAATGATAAAACCAAGCAGTTTGATATTCTTATGGTTGAGAGCATGATAGCAGTGTAGAAAACCTCCTGTTTGATATCTCTTTGTTTCAGGTTTCCATAAAGCTTCACACATTATTGCTCCTGGTATGGTGCTCTCCTACTGTGGGAGCGAAAAGGGACAGGCTTTGATGAACAAATGTGACTGCACTTCCCTGTGGCCTGTGTCTAGATACCTATCCCTGTTCCTCACCACTTGCAGTTTGAAACATGTAGCCCCTGGGATGAAGGATGTGGCTTTGGTGCTGTTCCTGGGAGAGCAGTGAAAAATGCAGCATGACCCTGGCATATCTTGGGAAATGGGATGGGGGTGAAAATGGATTTTTCTGAGCATCACTTCAACCCTTCTTGTTGCTGCTTCAAGTAGGTGACCTCATCACTCCCTGAGATCAGGCAGTGCAATCAGTCTGCTCCTCTCTGTCACTCCCTGTCTGCCAGACTATGGCAGAAGTGTCCTGCCATTGTTCAGCAGTTTGGAGCATGTCACTGGTCTTACCTGTGAGAAAAACTGTGATGTGACCTTGGCCGGTGTTACTGACCCACTGTGCTGCTTCAGAAGAGATGGTGAGAGCAAGCACAGTGAGGGACATGGCAGTGTGGGTGGGACAGCCTTCATACAGACATTTCCCATGTGAGAAACTATAGTAAGTATGGGGACAGGGCAGCTGGACTCTGCTCTTGTTGCTAAAGCGTGGGGAGGGCTGGAAAGAGACTAATATGTCTTCTTCTGATAGCAACTCATGAAAAAAAATCTGCTGAGGGAGTAACTTATGAGGTGACAAAAATAATATTAACTGAAAACTTGTATTGTTAGCAGAAATCACAGCCCTTTTGCTGAGATGGACCCTGTGACAGGATTAATGCTGGTGTTGGCCGTGTGGGCAGCTTAGGGATGAGCTGGTGAGCTGACTTATCTCCCAGTCCTGGCAGGAGAACTTCTGCAAGGGTCTCTCAGGTCAGCAAGTCCAGACTGTTCTTCTCTAACTTGACAACACAAGCTGAGCTCTGTTCCAGATCTCCAAAGGGTTAAATGAGACAAAAGCTTTCCTTCCTTTTAGCTATATCTATGTTTCTTTGGAGTAGTTCTCCACATTATATTATATCCCTTAGCATCTTGGGCTCAACGCCTGTTGAGCATTGCTTAGCTGAGAGGGAAATGCCACCAGTTACTGTGTGACTGGTGTGATTGAAACAAACAAGTAACTGGCAGCCTGGTGTGACAGTGATCTCCCATGTGCAGCAGGGTCCCATTAGCCCAGCCAAGGAAAAAGACGAAAAATCTTCCTATATGAAAACATTCCAAACTCTAACCTTGGCAGTAGCTGAAATACAAAATTTTGGCCCAAAGCCAGATTTAGCTAATGGATGGTGTGGAAGGTGGGATTTTCCAGTATGTGGGTTCCATTACTGCACTAATAAATAACATTAATTATTTTTTCAAAGGGAAAAGGCAAGTTAATTCTGGGAAGTACATAAGGCATTGTGAGGTTGATCTCTGAGTGTAGCAGCTGTAACTAGAGGCAAATATAAAAATTTAAGCTCTGCCTTTTCTTTAAAACACCATGAAAATATTAAAGGGTAAAAGAAAATAAAAAAAAGTAGTAGTGCAACTGAGAAAAATAGTGCAATAAAGACTAAATAGATTTCCTTTTTCTTGCTTGCTTGCTTGCTTTTCTTGCCTTTCTTTCTTTCTCTTCCACCAGCTATCTTCCTGTCTCTCTGTCTTTCTTTGGTATTAAAACATTGTATTTGTAGTATCTGAGAGTAACTTGCTAGTGGTTTTGAACTTACTGATAAGAGTTACTGTGCTCTTGACCTTTTCCTTTTTCTCAATTGTCCACTTATTAACTTCAAAGGATCCCTTTAATTCTCTATATCTCTTTCCTCTCTAGTTTGCTAGACTTGTTTTTTTGGCATATGCTGAAGTCCTAACTCAGCACTGCATTAAAACCTGTAGAATTTTTTCACACATATAGTGCCACTTGGACTCAAGGAAGCATTGAAGTGCTTTATTTTAAGACCTATGGATAATTACCATGAAAGTTAAATATTTTCTCAAATCTTTCCTTGAGTGGGGATGAGGGGCTTGCCTGTGTGTAAAGTGAAACCTTATTTTTAGCACTGAAAATCAGGAGAGCAGTTCAGAGTGCCTACTGTCCCCACTGCCAGACCTGCCTCCCCATGCAGTCCATGAAGGCTGCAAATGTAAACCCTCCGGTAAGGACCTGCTGTTCTTTGAATACGGACACTGATCAGAAATGGCTTCATGAGAGTAAACAGAAAAGATGGGGATTGTGAATTTCTTTGTGAATTTTCATGTCTAGACATGTTTCAGCGGGTTGGATATGGGTCCTGGTAACTGGTGACTTTTTAGTGCCATTGTTAGATATATACTGGACAAAATGGAGGAAAAATGGCTGTAGATGTGGTTTTGATGTGACTATCTGTGATATGTTCGGATGTGTGCATGCCTCCTGCGTGATTCATGCTCGCCAGAAAGGGCTCATTGGGCTGAGAGCTAATGAACTGCCATGGTAACTCATAAATTGCTTGGAAAATCCTGCAGTTCTGCCACATTAATAATCCTGCCATCCTGCTTTATGAGGCAATAAGCTGAGTCCCAGGGGCAAAGCGCTTCACACCCCAGCGAGAGAACTGCGCAAGTAGAGAACAAAGTCTGAGCACAGGAACAGCAGCTACTGTTGTTTTGGGGTGTCTGGTGCTGCTGGGAGACCAAAGAGGGTCAAGGAGAGGTGATAGAGGTGCTCTGGGGTTGTGGGGGTGGGCTGACTTTTGCTTTCTCTGGTACTTGGGAAAGCAGTCTGTTTTTTTCCAAAACGTTGTGTTTAAATAAATGTTCTCTCAAGCTGGACTAGAGGCAAGGTCTGTGTTAGACAAGAGAGCTCTGACGTGGTTGCCCTCATGATGGTGATGAGGAGGGAGGCTAAAAAGCTGCACAAATTCTCTCCTGTCATCTCAAAGGGACTGTGCTCTGGTCCATTAGCTCCTGTACAGTAAATCTATCAATGCCTCAGGCTGGATGAATGTAATGGTTCCTTCTGCTCCTAAAATGTATGAATTCATGAATGTAGAAAATATATTTTTATCACTGCAAAACCGCTTTCTGTTGCTGTAGGAAGAAATTCCAAGATCTGAAAAGAAGTAGGTAAGGAGCAATTCCAAACTTCTAAGAAAAAACAAAATCCTTTTCCATCCCTTTGAAATAGAACAATGCAGA